ATTACATTTCGATTCTGCGTCTCGATTTCTGTATGCGCATTTATTGTGATTTCAAAAGATTCAACTGCAAGAAGACGAAATAGAACTCACTTCTGCACTCGCGCGCTGTTTTCTGTGGTGCACACACACACACACACACAAAATGCACGCACAAAAGCTGCCTCTTATATACGCGAACACTGGACTGAGCTCTCTCGCATTCTTACACATTCGAATGGACAAATACACACAGAATTATATCAAAATATCCCATAAATACAATCGGTTATGTCTTAAGTGAACGTAAAGAGCTGAGAAAGAAAACAAGGGTGTATTGGATCTGTGCATTGACTGCAGCCGCTGCCGCCAGTCATTAATGTTAATTTAAAGAACGAAAGAAAAGAAAATCACTTTTGTAACCTCAGTTTATATTTTATTTGCCAGTTGTTTGGCGCTGACTTCTGTAATGGCAACGTACATCTATGTATGCGATTATTTTGGAGATGCGTTCCAATATAATTTATCCTTATTTAGGGTATAGGCCTATTCTATTTTGATCTGCAGTTTAATAAAAGTTAAACAGAAAAAATACAATAAGTAGCACTGCATGTGTTTCTGAATATTTATTTAAACAGACTGCATAATGATGAAAAACCACAAACATGACAGGTATAATTAAAATAAGCAAATTCCTTCAGCGCACATTTCAGTGCAAAATTTTTTACAGATTTTTTAAAACCATGTATACAATATAATTGTTTAATTAAGCTGATATATAGCACTATAAATTCTTAATTCATTTGCAATAAAACTGTAAAGTTTTGTTGCAAACGGCTGAAGACATTATAGTACTATATCTCAGCTCGCCCCTCAACATGAACGCGTTCGGAGATTTGGCAGCCCAACACTGAATTTTATTTTGTGGGCGTTGTATTTTGATTAATAGAATAAAAATTACAATACAAAAATTTAATTTAAATTACCCTGCTTCTAAATAAATAAAGCAATTATTTTTATTTCGTTAAAAACGGGCCAAAAGAGCCCTACGAACTAGTAGGCTACCAGAAAGAAAGAAAAAAAAAAAAACTTAAAGTTTTTGAATTCGTTTTTAATCCCTGCATAATTTTAGTCATACATGATAAATATCAAATACATTATAGCTTGACTACAAGTTTAAAAACAACGCTGCAATTGTTATAATTAGGAAACGGCGTGGTTAACTCTTAACTTTTATAAAGAAGATCTCTTTGGTTTTGAGACTTTAGTGTTTGCAACTTTACAGATC